AAAAAAAAAAAAAGACAGAAAAAGAGGGAAAACAGCAGAGCGCACGTTATTTCAGCACCGAATCCTGCCGAGAGGTTATAGGAAGGAAGGAAAAAAACCAAAACGGCAACAAAAAGAAGAAAAGAAAAGAAAAATACAAAAATAAACCCGGCAAAGGAGTAAGCGAGAAGCGGGGGAGCAGCCCCAGCACACGGTGTAAACGGAAGCTGTTCCGATCCGGAGTCCAGCTCTCCCGAAAAAGCAAGAGCACAAACATGCTTTATACACCCCAAAAGGTCCCTGCGGCGCCGAGCGGCGAAGGGGGAGGTTGTGGTTTTAAGCTGGAGTTGCTATTTTGTGTTGTTGGTTTTTTTTCTTTTTAATATTCTTATTATTTTTACCTTTCTGCAAAGAAAAAAATAAAATAAGAAGGTTGAAGTGATGTCGGAGGCTCCAAGCGGCTTTTGAAGCACCGAGCCCGGCCAGGCAGGGAAAGGGGATGGGGGAAAAGTGCCATGGGAGAGGAGGGATTGGGATAGAGGGAACCCTCCAAAACTGGGAAGAGGAGGGACTGGGATAGAGGGAATGCCCCGAGACTGGAGAGAAGAAAGATTGGGATAGAGGGAACCCCCAGAGAGTGGGAAGAGGAGGGATTGGGATAGAGGGAACCCTCCAAAACTGGGAAGAGGAGGGATTGGGATAGAGGGAATGCCCCGAGACTGGAGAGAAGGATTGGGATAGAGGGAACCCTCCGAGAGCAGGAAGAGGAGGGATTGGGATAGAGGGAACCCCCCAAGAGCAGGAAGAGGAGGGACTGGGATAGAGGGAACCCCCCCAGAGACTGGGAAGAGGAGGGATTGGGATAGAGGGAACCCCCCGAGAGCAGGAAGAAGAAGGATTGGAATAGAGGGAACCTTCCAAAACAGGCAAGAGGAGGGACTGGGATAGAGGGAACCCCCCAAGAGTGGGAAGAGGAGGGACTGGGATAGAGGGAACCCCCCCAGAGACTGGGAAGAGGAGGGATTGGGATAGAGGGAACCCCCCGAGTGCAGGAAGAAGAAGGATTGGAATAGAGGGAACCTTCCAAAACAGGCAAGAGGAGGGACTGGGATAGAGGGAACCCCCCAAGAGTGGGAAGAGGAGGGACTGGGATAGAGGGAACCCCCAGAGAGTGGGAAGAGGAGGGATTGGGATAGAGGGAACCCTCCAAAACTGGGAAGAGGAGGGATTGGGATAGAGGGAATGCCCCGAGACTGGAGAGAAGGATTGGGATAGAGGGAACCCTCCGAGAGCAGGAAGAGGAGGGATTGGGATAGAGGGAACCCCCCAAGAGCAGGAAGAGGAGGGACTGGGATAGAGGGAACCCCCCCAGAGACTGGGAAGAGGAGGGATTGGGATAGAGGGAACCCCCCGAGTGCAGGAAGAAGAAGGATTGGAATAGAGGGAACCTTCCAAAACAGGCAAGAGGAGGGACTGGGATAGAGGGAACCCCCCAAGAGTGGGAAGAGGAGGGACTGGGATAGAGGGAACCCCCAGAGAGTGGGAAGAGGAGGGATTGGGATAGAGGGAACCCTCCAAAACTGGGAAGAGGAGGGATTGGGATAGAGGGAATGCCCCGAGACTGGAGAGAAGGATTGGGATAGAGGGAACCCTCCGAGAGCAGGAAGAGGAGGGATTGGGATAGAGGGAACCCCCCAAGAGCAGGAAGAGGAGGGACTGGGATAGAGGGAACCCCCCCAGAGACTCAGAAGAGGAGGGATTGGGATAGAGGGAACCCCCCGAGAGCAGGAAGAAGAAGGATTGGAATAGAGGGAACCTTCCAAAACAGGCAAGAGGAGGGCCTGGGATAGAGGGAACCCCCCAAGAGTGAGAAGAAGAAGGATTGGGATAGAGGGAACCCTCCAAGACTCAGAAGAGGAGGGATTGGGATAGAGGGAACCCCCCGAGAGCAGGAAGAAGAAGGATTGGAATAGAGGGAACCTTCCAAAACAGGCAAGAGGAGGGCCTGGGATAGAGGGAACCCCCCAAGAGTGAGAAGAAGAAGGATTGGGATAGAGGGAACCCTCCAAGACTCAGAAGAGGAGGGATTGGGATAGAGGGAACCCCCCGAGAGCAGGAAGAAGAAGGATTGGAATAGAGGGAACCTTCCAAAACAGGCAAGAGGAGGGCCTGGGATAGAGGGAACCCCCCAAGAGTGAGAAGAAGAAGGATTGGGATAGAGGGAACCCTCCAAGACTCAGAAGAGGAGGGATTGGGATAGAGGGAACCCCCCGAGAGCAGGAAGAAGAAGGATTGGAATAGAGGGAACCTTCCAAAACAGGCAAGAGGAGGGCCTGGGATAGAGGGAACCCCCCAAGAGTGAGAAGAAGAAGGATTGGGATAGAGGGAACCCTCCAAGACTCAGAAGAGGAGGGATTGGGATAGAGGGAACCCCCCAAGAGTGAGAAGAAGAAGGATTGGGATAGAGGGAACCCTCCAAGACTCAGAAGAGGAGGGATTGGGATAGAGGGAACCCCCCGAGAGCAGGAAGAAGAAGGATTGGAATAGAGGGAACCTTCCAAAACAGGCAAGAGGAGGGACTGGGATAGAGGGAACCCTCCGAGACTGGGAAGAAGAGGGATTGGGATAGAGGGAACCCCCCAAGAGTGGGAAGAGGAGGGACTGGGATAGAGGGAACCCCCCCAAGACTGGGAAGAGGAGGGAATGGGATAGAGGGAACCCCCCAAGAGTGAGAAGAAGAAGGATTGGGATAGAGGGAACCCCCCTGAGAGTGGGAAGAGGAGGGACTGGGATAGAGGGAACCCTCCGAGACTGGGAAGAGGAGGGACTGGAATAGAGGGAACCCTCCAAAACTGGGAAGAGGAAGGACTGGGATAGAGGGAACCCCCCAACAGTGGGAAGAGGAGGGATTGGGATAGAGGGAACCCCCAGAGAGTGGGAAAACGAGGGATTGGGATAGAGGGAATGCCCCGAGACTGGAGAGAAGAAGGATTGGGATAGAGGGAACCCTCCAAGACTCAGAAGAGGAGGGATTGGGATAGAGGGAACCCCCCAAGAGTGGGAAGAGGAGGGACTGGGATAGAGGGAACCCCCCCAAGACTGGGAAGAGGAGGGAATGGGATAGAGGGAACCCCCCAAGAGTGAGAAGAAGAAGGATTGGGATAGAGGGAACCCCCCAAGAGTGAGAAGAAGAGGGATTGGGATAGAGGGGATGCCCCGAGACTGGGGAGAAGAAGGATTGGGATAGAGGGAACCCTCTGAGAGCAGGAAGAAGAAGGATTGGGATAGAGGGAACCCTCCAAAACTGGGAAGAGGAGGGATTGGGATAGAGGGAACCCCCCGAGAGTGAGAAGAAGAGGGATTGGGATAGAGGGAATGCCCCGAGACTGGGGAGAAGAAGGACTGGGATAGAGGGAACCCTCTGAGACTGGGAAGAAGAGGGATTGGGATAGAGGGAACCCCCCTGAGAGTGGGAAGAGGAGGGACTGGGATAGAGGGAACCCTCCGAGACTGGGAAGAGGAGGGACTGGAATAGAGGGAACCCTCCAAAACTGGGAAGAGGAAGGACTGGGATAGAGGGAACCCCCCAACAGTGGGAAGAGGAGGGATTGGGATAGAGGGAACCCCCAGAGAGTGGGAAAACGAGGGATTGGGATAGAGGGAATGCCCCGAGACTGGAGAGAAGAAGGATTGGGATAGAGGGAACCCTCCAAGACTCAGAAGAGGAGGGATTGGGATAGAGGGAACCCCCCAAGAGTGGGAAGAGGAGGGACTGGGATAGAGGGAACCCCCCCAAGACTGGGAAGAGGAGGGAATGGGATAGAGGGAACCCCCCAAGAGTGAGAAGAAGAAGGATTGGGATAGAGGGAACCCCCCAAGAGTGAGAAGAAGAGGGATTGGGATAGAGGGAACCCCCCGAGAGTGGGAAAATGAGGGACTGGGATAGAGGGAACCCTCCAAAACTGGGAAGAGGAGGGACTGGGATAGAGGGAACCCTCCAAAACTGGGAAGAGGAGGGATTGGGATAGAGGGAAGCCCTCAAGAGCAGGAAGAGGAGGGACTGGGATAGAGGGAATGCCCCGAGACTGGGGAGAAGAAGGATTGGAATAGAGGGAACCCTCCGAGACTGGGAAGAAGAGGGATTGGGATAGAGGGAACCCCCCGAGAGCAGGAAGAGGAGGGACTGGGATAGAGGGAACCTCCCAAGACTGGGGAGAAGGATTGGGATAGAGGGAACCCTCCAAAACTGGGAAGAGGAGGGATTGGGATAGAGGGAACCCCCCGAGAGTGAGAAGACCTCCGAGAGCAGGAAGAAGAAGGACTGGGATAGAGGGAACCCTCCAAAACTGGGAAGAGGAGGGATTGGGATAGAGGGAACGCCCCGAGACTGGGAAGAGGAAGGACTGGGATAGAGGGAACGCCCCTGAGACTGGCGAGAGTAGGTCCCGGGGCTTTGCAGCTGGGAAATCTGGACAAGGGAAGGGAAAGCAAACAAATAATAATAATAATTAAAAAAAAAAAAGATATAAAAACAATTCATGTGGAGGAGGAGGAGGAGGAGAATATGGACAGTAAAGGCAGGGTTACTGTCGCCATCCCCAAAGCAAGAATAATAATTAAAAAAATCCGAGTTGAGGTGACAGTGAAGAGTCCGACGGAATTCCCTTCCCTGGGGGAAAATAAAAATACAAATGAGGTACCTGTTCCACCCCAAAGCCGTCACCCCCCTTTCCACAGTCACATCAACGCTCCAGCCACTGGTTATTGTCTCTCTGAAATAAAAACCATGGGGGCCAGGAGCAGAAGCACCACGTGCGGGTCTGGGCCAGGGCGCGCTGGGCGCCAGGAGCCCTCGTCCAGTTCCTCGCGGCTGGGTGGTTCAGCAGAGATCCAGTCTCTCCTTCACCCTGCCAACAGGTGGAATTGTTCAGTGCTCCACGGAGACAGAGCCTTTTCCAGGTCTCACGTGTTTCTCCAGCTTTTTTTTTGTTTGTTTGTTTAAAAAAAATAATAATAATTATATATATATTATATACAGTACAACAAAAAATATCCATGGAAACAAATGGGGTGGCTGGAAAAGATGCTTAACAAAAAAAGCCCAAAATCAAACAAATTCCCAACTCTTCCCCAAACTGGCGCTTTGCCTTCCCCCCCGCTAGTCCTCCAAGACCACAATCTCCACGTTATGGACCTGGTGCTGATGGTCTTCCACATCTCCCACCACTTTCTCCTCAGTCCTCAGCTCTGTCTCCAGGATCACAGCTTTACCCTCCGACTCATCCGTATCCGCTTCGGGATCCGGCGCCGGGTCGATCTCTATGATGGTTTGCCCATCATCCGAGGTGCCCTCCACGGCTTGGATGGTGGAAGTGAGACCAGATTCCATGGCCACCAGTTCCACGGGGTTGACCACCGCCGCCACGTTGGCCAAGGCACCGCTGTCCTGCATGGCTGCCGAGCTCAGGAGCGCCAGGCTGGAGGACGGGTGGAGGGTGACCGTGTCGGAGGAACTGGTCTTGGAGGAGGACACCACGGTGGCGTATCGGAAGAGCTGGGAGCCAGAGGGTAAGGTGTGAACAGTCACCGGGCTGGAGCCTTGGCTAATGGTTGCCACCGGGATGTTGCCCACGGAGAACTGTTGTCCGACGGGCGCGATGGCGATGGGGGAGATGACGGTGAACTGAGGCTGTTGGATGGGGGTGGAGGGGCTGAGGACGGTGGCGGAGGCCGGGCGCTGCAGGCGGGGTCTCTTGGGGGGTTTGGGAGCGCTGACGGGCATCAGCACCACGTTCTGGATGGTTTGGGACTTCGCCTTCTGGTCCTTGGCAAGTTTCTTCTGCTCTTCCAGTTGCCGCTCCAGGTCTGCAAAGAGAACGGCTAAAGGAGCTCCTGGGGGCTCGTGGGCTCCACAACCAACCACTACACCTCATGTTTGGGACAAGAGGTCTCCAAACCACCCAGGGAGGTCTCCAACCAACCACTACACCCCATGTTTGCAACAGGAGGTCTCCAAACATCCACTACACCCCATGTTTGTGACAGGAGGTCTCCAAACCACCCAGGAAGGTCTCCAAACAACCACTACACCCCATGTTTGCAACAGGAGGTCTCCAAACCACCCAAGAAGGTCTCCAACCAACCACTACACCACATGTTTGCAACAGGAGGTCTCCAAACCACCCAGGGAGGTCTCCAAACAACCACTACACTCCATGTTTGTGACAGGAGGTCTTCAAACCATGCAGTTGAGGGTGATCTTAGCATTTCACTCAAGATTTGAACTGCACTGAAGGGAAAGGCCAGATTCTCCTGCCACCCAGGCAATGTTCTGCTCCCACTCAACCTGCCTCTCCAAACCACTCAGAGTGGTCTCCAAACAACCACTACATCCCATGTTTGGGACAGGAGGTCTCCAAACCACCCAGGGAGGTCTCCAAACAACCACTACACCCCATGTTTGGGACAGGAGGTCTCCAAACCACCCAGGGAGGTCTCCAACCAACCACTACACCCCATGTTTGGGACAGGAGGTCTCCAAACCACCCAGGAAGGTCTCCAAACAACCACTACACCCCATGTTTGCAACAGGAGGTCTCCAAACCACCCAAGAAGGTCTCCAACCAACCACTACACCACATGTTTGCAACAGGAGGTCTCCAAACCACCCAGGGAGGTCTCCAAACAACCACTACACTCCATGTTTGTGACAGGAGGTCTTCAAACCATGCAGTTGAGGGTGATCTTAGCATTTCACTCAAGATTTGAACTGCACTGAAGGGAAAGGCCAGATTCTCCTGCCACCCAGGCAATGTTCTGCTCCCACTCAACCTGCTTTGGCTGCCTGTCTGCACCTGGAGAAGGAACAGGCAACGCTCTACACCAGTTGGCTACTCCTACTGGTGAGGAGATGGTAATTTCTGCCCCCAAGCAAGATCTGCCTAGAAAGGAAAGTGAACAAGCCTCTCCAGGCAACAGGAACTGCTTCCTGAGCTTGACTGTGTCCCCTCCCCAGGAGCAGGTCCCCACTGAAGGGAAAGGCCAGATTCTCTTGCCACCCAGGCAATGTTCTGCTCCCACTCAACCTGCTTTGGCTGCCTGTCTGCACCTGGAGAAGGAACAGGCAACGCTCTACACCAGTTGGCTACTCCTACTGGTGAGGAGATGGTAATTTCTGCCCCCAAGCAAGATCTGCCTAGAAAGGAAAGTGAACAAGCCTCTCCAGGCAACAGGAACTGCTTCCTGAGCTTGACTGTGTCCCCTCCCCAGGAGCAGGTCCCCTCCCCATCTCTACTGGGGACAAGGAGCAGGTCAACCAAACATCTCCCTCGATCCTTGTCTGCGTGAACGCTGGAGGAAGTAACACAGTGATCTCATTTATCCAGGGCAGTAGGGGACCATGACATCCCAGATAAGAACAGGTCCTACAGGAGAGGGTGAGGAGGGAGACACCATCCAGCCCTGGGGAATCCAGGTCAGGTTATTGGCTTCAGCTCAGGGGAAGCCGTGTAAGACACCTGATAGCTCCACGCCAAGAGAAGAGAACTTCTACTCTGAGAAGCTGATTAACTCGGGCACAGCATGGCACCGCCTGCAGCTCAGATATCTGCCACACAGCACCTATTTCCCAATGCCAAGGGAATGGGACTCTTCCCCCTCCCAGCACCCTGGCTGCTGCAAAGGGCACAGATTTGGGCTGTCCAACGCTCCAGGCAACTGCTCACCACGAGGGAAGGGAGAGGGGAAATTCCACACAAGCCCAAAGATGGAAAGGGATTGGGATGCGCTTGTTTCGGGCAGCGTGGATTGAGTAACAACCCCCAATGAATTTTCACATTTGGGTTCAGCTCCCGACAGCAGCAGGAGGATGAGAAGCCTCCCAAGGCTGTACCTGCCAGCGTGTAAAGAAACTGTTCCTCTCCTTGCTCTGTCTGGTTTTTCCTGTTGTCCAGCACCTTCTTGACTGTGTCCATTAGGCCAAACGTGTGGGCGACGTTGTTCAAGACTGCAGCATCTGCAAGGAAAGCGCGTGGGGACGAACGCCTGGTCCCTCAGGTGTAGTCCCACAGTCAAATACTCAAAAGATGCTCGTATTACACCAAAAATGCTCTGCTGCTTTTCACAAAACCACCTCTGTTCTTTCGCAAGGGCTGGCTGACAAGGGCAGACCCCGCTCCCGCATCCTTCTGACATCCAAGGACTAAATAAATCCCATTCACATGATAAAGCAAACGAAACAGAGATGTGTCAGCCAAGCAGCTCAAAACGGCTGCAAATGAAAGCATAATTTGCAATCAGAGAGATACAAACGAGCTCTCCACCTACAACTCATCACCCCATGCTGCTGACAGTGTCATTAACATGCCAGCTCCGCTGAAAGCTGTGCAAAATTTCTATTCTAATCCACTGACTTCAATCACTCCCAGCTTCCAAAAGCTGCCACCTACCAGACACAAAGATCCGCCGGCCCAAAGCTAAATGAGAAAATAAATAAAAAAAATGTCCTGGGTAAAGCGAAGTTTGTGGCTCCGTGGATGGTCCCTCAGCAAGAGCATCGACAAGAGGTGCTCTCAAACCCTGTGCTGAACTGGATTAGGGAACCAATCCAAGTTAAAAATAACCCTAAAGAGGGGAGAGGAGTTATTTTTAACCCAGATCAGTTCCCTCATCTGGTTCGGCCCCAAAACCAGGTTTTCTGGCACGAGTGAAGACAGAAGGAGGAGTGAGGGGGCAGGACCTGTTCCAGCCTGCACTGGCACGGAGAAAAGCGTTTGAATAACTCTGGTCTGAGAAGTGACTCTGGGCAGGCTTTCTCGAGGGCCAGGAGCTGAAGACAGTGGCCCCATGGCCTCAGCAAGTTGCCAGGCTCATTTCTGCTCAGGGGATAGGGTGGTGTGTTGTGTCCTTGTGCCCTGCAGTGGCATCACCGAGTGCATTTCACAGTTGGGCAGGCTGAGACCACACCTACACCAGGCTCCTGCAGCTCAGGTAATGAGCAGTAGCTTGCTCATCAGCCTTGGCACTTTTAATTTTGGCCTCCAGCTGCCCTTTTGAGCATCCTTCCCCTCCGCAGAGCCAGAGGCTGCGGCTCACAACCTACCTGTCATCTGGAAGGGAGACTGACCCAATCTCTGCTGGACGCCTCTCAGGACTTCTTCTATCTCCTTCTGGATGTTGCACACAACCTCTTCCATCAGCCCCACATCAGCTATTCCCTTCCAGAACATCAGTGTGTCCTCTGGCACCAGGAGAGGGAACAAGAAGTCAACACTTATGAGCATTTGGCATTTTCCTATAAAACTACCTTAAACCTTTCAGGCAAGAGTAACTTTGCAAGACGACTTCTCATTTGGCCATTGGGGTGGATATAACACGCCAAAAAAAAAAGAAAAACCAAAACAAAGAAGTAAAACAGAGCCAGGCAGAGAATCACTAACATGTTTTCAAGCAGCACCATGACTTCCAAGGCAACATTTCACTGCCTCTGTTCATCCGTGCAAGAGGCAGAGCTTAAAATCTTTGTGTTTGAGGAAATTCTGCCCAAGCTTCCGTGCTGATCCTGAGAGGGAAGGCAAAGCACCGCAGCCGGAGAGACTCAGCCAAGAGAGGTGACAGGGTACTAACAGACACTGCTCACTGATGCCTTCACTCTAGCTCCACGCTGCCAGATGTCTACATCCTTATAACAAACAAAATAAACTAGTAGCAACTGATCTATCCATCAGCCACAAGGCCAGGGCTGAAGTCTGCAGTGAGGAGCTCTAACATGTTTTCAAGCAGCACCATGACTTCCAAGGCAACATTTCACTGCCTCTGTTCATCCGTGCAAGAGGCAGAGCTTAAAATCTTTGTGTTTGAGGAAATTCTGCCCAAGCTTCCGTGCTGATCCTGAGAGGGAAGGCAAAGCACCGCAGCCGGAGAGACTCAGCCAAGAGAGGTGACAGGGTACTAACAGACACTGCTCACTGATGCCTTCACTCTAGCTCCACGCTGCCAGATGTCTACATCCTTATAACAAATAAAATAAACTAGTAGCAACTGATCTGGAGGATCATCCATCAGCCACGAGGCCAGGGCTGAAGTCTGCAGTGAGGAGCTCCATTTGGTAGGAGCCCTGCACACCCAGGAACTGCTGGGACAGCCGAGGGGCTGGGGGACAGCTCTGTCATTGCCTAAACTCTCCTTATTTTCAGCATTTCAGTCTCCAGAAAGTAACAGGCGAGGAGAGGAGGAAAAAAAAAGACCCAAACAACACCCTGAGCTTACCCGAGATCTCATCTGTGTCCTTTTTCATGCCTTCCTCAGTGGCCATGGTGACGGCAGCCGTCAGAGCCGAGTTCCACTCGATCCCCTCCTCCATGCTCTCCTCCGACAGCGCGATCTGGGTGATGCTCCCTGCCAGAGAGGCAACATCAGCCCCCTCTGTGGCACCCCCAGTGCCAGCCCTGAATCCCTGCTTTGCTTTCCAACCCCCCCAGGGCTCTTTTTTTTGGACTCTTGTGGTCAGGTTGTTTGTGCCTGGCTTCTTTCAGCCGAATTAGCTAAAAGCAAATATTGCTGCTTCTCATTTGAACCGTGATTGTGAAAGGCTCTGGGGCTTCTGGAGGGAATACCATGTGCCCTCCATAAAACAAAACTGGAGTCCTGGTATAAAAAGAGCAGAAAGGGATCAGAATAAAGAAGGGAACAAATAAGCCTCAGCCCAGCCACCCTTCTCCCCTCGCATCACCAGCAGAGATGCCCAAATCTCTCAAGAAATGAGGGTCCAAGCTGGTTTATAGAAGGGGAAATGGATCTGACTCAATCCTAAATTTCTGGGTCAAATTTGGGACTAAACCAATCCGCAGCCATAGTATGGTTTCACCATGTGCTTTCCAGGAGATTCTCCTTAGGCTATGGACAACCCTGCCATCCCACCCCTCCAGGGCCTTAGAGACATGTCACCTGCCCAGCTGCACGGCGCGGTATGGCTGGGAGTGCTCTTCTCAAGGGCAGGTTGGAGGGGACTTTGAGCAACCTGGTCTGGTGGGAGGTGTCCCTGCCCAGGGCAGGGGGGTTGGAACTCGATGATCTTCAAGGATCCTTCCAACCCAAACCATTCTATGATTCTCCTCTAACTTCAGCAAAGAGATCCCTTTCTGCCCAAGATTTGCTGAGAATTTCCAGTTGGAATGACAACCAAATGACATCCATCCATCACACCCTGCTCATGGATGTCCTGCAGCTGCTCCAGAGGAGGTCAGCAGGCCGAGATTCATTTCTAAGCCTCAGCCCATCTCATGCCTTTGCAATACACCCTCAAAAAGGACATCAGGAAACACTGTACAAGCTCTCTCAGATGTTTGCTCACAGGGTGACCCCAGAACGGGGATCCCTTCAAGGTGACCCTCCCCTGGCTCCCAAGGCTGCCTCTACTCACTGCTTCACACCGTCTTCCAGCCCTCCCACTACCACAGAGCAGAGCTCCCTGACAGATGCTCCTGAGACCTCTCTGAGCAGCCACCAGGAGCATTTTCCTTCCCAGAAACCAGAGCAGTCTCCTGAACGGTGGGACTGCCCCGCTACACTTGGGGAGAAGGTGTAAAGTGTGTGGGGGGGATTTCAACCTGCTTTGATCAGCCCAGGGAGGGGCTTGGGGAGAAGGTGTAAAATGTGTGTGTGTGGGGTTTCAACCTGCTTTGATCAGCCCAGGGAGGGAGAGGAGCATCAGAGGGAAAGGAGTATCAGATGGAAACTCCTGTGGCATCACTAACTGGTTTCCTACCATCAGCTGATGTGGGAGTCTGCACCACGCTCTGCTGCCCCGGCACCGGTGCTCTGGCGCTGCTGATCAGGAGATCGAACTTGGTGCTCCTGCAGGTGTTGGTACAGACTTTGTCGTGCTGGTAGAAATCGATTTGCCCCGAGTCCATCATCTTCCTGTGCAGGGAGTGAGGAGAGAAACCAAGCTCAGCTCAAATCTCAGCCCGGAGATAAAAGGGAGTATATTCCACCTAGGAATGCTACGGGCCATGGGAGGGATGGAGAAAGGGAGACTCAGTGCCACCCTGCAAACAAAACATCTCCTGCAGGGCTTTCAAATGACAAATCCAAGCTGTTCCCCAGCTTCAGATGCAGGGCTCCAGTCCTATTCCACCCCCACCAAGTACAAGGTTCCCCAGGCGAGGCCACTTCTGCACAGGATGAAGAATCCTGTCCCTCAGACCACGGGGCCAGGATCTCTGCAGGCTGCTGGCCAAGTAATGTGAGCTTCTGAGAGATCTCCCGGGGACTGCAAAGCAGACAAAAATCCCTTCTTGGGATCCTGCAGCTGCAGTGATGAAGCCCTGAAGCTGGAGAGAGGGTTAGGCAAGTCAAATACCTCAGCATGATTCCTCCGAGGCGAATGGCTCTCTTCCAGTCCTTCAGGGTAGACTTCCCAGCCAGGTGAACAAAATGCTTCGGGCTGATCAGCTGGTCATTGAACTGCCAACGAGATAAGCAAAGGCTCAGCAAACAGGGAGACTTTAGAGGGACAGCCAACACAGCCAGCCCACAGCTCATCTAAACCCCCACTTCTACCCAGAGAGAGGAGCTGCTTCCCAAATCCCTGCCAGCTTGGATCCCCTCGGCACAGCAATGCCTATAACTCCAGAATGGGTATGTTTGCAGGGATGACCTGCCAGCCATCGGCATCCGAACCACACCGCTCCTGCCAAGAACAGCCCTGAAGGCTTTCGGATGAAAACACCAACCAAATTAGCTCCTTCTGTGAACACGTACAGTCATCTTGGAGATCATTACGGGACACTCCTGTAACATCAAACAGCCCGGCAACATCTGGCTGACAGAGGTATTCACTTGGGAATCTGTTCTGTCCCGCTCCAGTGACTCAGACAGTTCCCATCAAGGGTCAGCAACACAGTGCTGTCGCTGCAGCAGCGCACGGGGACTCAGGGCATCAGCTCTTACAGTCCACAGTCTCAAGGGGAAATAGGTAACAGCAAGATTTCTCTTCTCGATGCAACCTGCTCGCTGAGGAAGTGACAGGAGGGAAGTATCAAGGCACCAAGGGACAGAGACAAGGAAGAAAAGCTCTGGCAGATCTCAGTACGCATCCCCTGCTTGCCTTCAGCTCCATGTCCCTTGTCAAACGCCAAATGTGACCCTGCTTTAAACAGCAGTCAAGAGCTGCACTGAAATATAAGGTGGGTGACAGGCCTTCGCTCCTTACCCTTTTACTCTGAGGGTGGTGAGACACTGGAACAAGTTGCCCAGGGAAGTTGTGGCTGCCCCATCCCTGGAGGGGTTCAAGGCCAGGCTGGATGGGGCCTTGAGCAACCTGCTCTGGTGGGAGGTGTCCCTGCCCAGGGCAGGGGGGTTGGAACTCAATGATCTTTGAGGTCCCTTCCAACCCAAACCATTCTGTGATTCTACCCTGCTCCTCCCCTGCTTCTCCTCATGCCAGAAACAATTTTATTGCTAACAATCCAGCACGCTGCAAAGGGAAAGTCACTCTGCTCCAGGATAAGACTCAGATGAAAGAGGAAAAAGTCCTGAGAAGGTCAAGCCCCAGACTTTGAGAGCAGAGAAGGAACCTGCTGTGAAAACTCCCTTACCTTTACGCACTTGACATTGATTCCTGGACAGACAAACTTCTTCCAGAGCAGGATGGCTTTGCTCTCCCCGCAGGTGATGGGATAGGCGATCTCGATCTCCTCGTTCGCTTCAATGGTGCTGGGGTCTGAGGGAGGAAGGGGTGAAAATGAAACTCTCCACCCAAGAGGCTCAAATCCCACAAGGAGGGAGGTGAAAACTCACAGGTTGTGAGATCTGCACTCAGTAAACCAAAAGAAGGGCTGATCCCAGTTCAGGACCTCTTAGTCTCCTCCAATTACTAGCTCTAACAGCAACTGGCATCTGCTTTTTAATATAGCAACACTCAAAGTGAAGCTCCTCTATCAGGAGAACGCGAGATCAGAAACCCAACACATCTGTAAGGGGGGGGCAGGGTCAATGAGAACAATCTGTGGAAACGAAATGCTTTAAAATTTGCAGCACAGATGCCTCTCAGTTTTCTTGGAGCTCCGGTATCTGTTTAGCAGCGATATCAGATATTTACTGATAATATATTCTCTTCACAGGCAGACTTTCTGCTAATGCTGCCAAAAGCCCCACACCCACACAGGAAGCAGAAGAGTAGTCGAGATCTAACGACAGCACCTAACGACAGGAGCTTTTCCTCACCTTCTCCTCAGGATGGCAGAGAGCACTTGGAGCCAACCTGCCCGTTCTTCTGAACATCCAACCCAAATCGTCAGGCTGTTCGTTCAGCAAAGACCCACCAACCACAGTGTGCTCATAACCATCATAGGTTAACCATCAAGAGGCCATCCTCATAATCATCATTCTTGCCTGTTGTTGCCTGTCTGGTGTCTGTCTAGGGTGAAACCTCGGCTCCCCTGGACCCCCTGGGAGCCCTTACCATTCATTGCAGGACAGCCAGGATCTCAGTTCCAGGACTTTTTGAGACCAAGCAGTAACAGCAGAGTCTTATTCCAGAGTATGCCCAGACCCTGCACCCTCATCCATGCCTGGGAATCAGCATCTGCAGGGGCAGAGCCAGAAGGAAGCCCAGGGAAAAGGAGACACCAGCTCAGCCCTGCAGAGGAGGGGATTCTGCCCACGCCAAGGGGGAACTCACCGATCCCTTCTTCCAGCTTGTGGATGGTGTGGGTTTCCACGGCCACTACGGCGGCGCTGGCCTCCGAGCCCTCTTGGTAAATCCTGTTGTGAAAGCGTGCATTGATTAAAAAAAATGATACAAATGGCAGAAACTTTAAGATTCACAGCACGGGGTTAAAAATTCAGTTCGTTTCCTTCTTCCCCGTCCTTGAGGGATGAGGATTTTGTTTGATACAGTTTCAATCACTGGCATTTTTTTGGCACGTACAAAAGAGGATGACAATCCCAAGGAGTGAAACACGCAGAGGCGTTCCCAGTCCTGTCATCTCACTCTCCGCGGTGCCAGCGCCACCGAAGCAGCTCTGCAGCAAGTTTCCCTCTGCCTTCTCCTCTGCTTTCTGACACAGGCAGCTCCCCACCACAACAGGAAGCAGAGCTCAATGCCCCAGGATTTCCCTCCCAGCCCCGTGTGACACTGCAGCACGGGGTGATCACGCAGGGAAGAGTCACTGCCAGGCCTACAGCCACCCTGCCCTCTGAATATCATCAAGCTGGAGCGCCAGGATATTTACATCCTGATTGATCCAGAGTTAAGATGAAGTGCCTGGTGGCAGCCACTTCTCCGCAGCAGCTGTCAGGAGTACCACAAAATTCCCTCCGACGTCCCAGCTTCGTTGGATTTTAGAGGAAGGTTATTTCGGGGAAAAGCTGGCACAGATCTGCATATGCAGATGTGGGCACAGGGGCACAGACCATCACGTGCAGCAGCTGCAGCGTGGCAAAAACCCACCCTGGGGCTGCAGAGGGAAGAGGCAGACCAGGAGGACGGGTGGCCGGAGCAGCACCGTGACCATCTCGCTGCGTCCCCACTGCCACAGCCATCACCAAATCCAGAGACTGCATGGCACGGGCACGTCCCCACAGGACCATTTCAGTCCTCGGAGGCACCGTGGCAGCGACAGACACAAAAGCTTTTTTTTTTTTTTTGGTGTTGTATTTTCCTCTCTACCCTGCGTGGCACAAACCCGACGCAGTCCTGGAAAACGCAGCGACGCTGGGTCCCCACACCACAAAAATCTACACGGACACCCCCCTCCTCCCCACTTCTTCCCCATCCCATCCCACCCCGCACCACCCAGACACACCAAGTCCCATCCAACTCACCCTTGCTGCACCGGCTGGAGCTGCAGGATCACTTGGGTTTTGGTATCCTCCGGGTTCTCCCCTTCGTTCCCATCACTTGGTACAACCACCACATCACCCACAGGGACGCTCACCTCGGCGTTCGCCATCTCTCACATGAAGCCCGGCGGTGGCAGGGTGCCGCGGTGCTGCAGAGGGCAAAGCAGAGGCAGGGCTGTACGGCGGCAGCACCGCTGCCTGCGCGGGCAGAGGGACGGGCAGCGGTCTCTAAGCATGATCGCCCAAGTCCTGCTGCAGCAAAAAAAAGGCCAGGCTGGAAGGGACCATGGGGCTGGCAGAGCAAAGCTGGAAGCTCCCAAGAGGGGAACCAGGCGTTTTAAATTCACCAACAGAGAGAGCCTGGCGATACACAGGAGGATTTCTCCTCCCCTCTCCATCACGATAGCTGGGAACATCTCACCCTGACAGAAGCAGATCCCCCCCTGGTGCCATCCCACCCATAACTTCCCCACCATCAGCGGCAGCATCCGGCTGCCCTTGGGATGCTCCAAACCCTCACCACCAGGAAGGTGCCTGGGGCTGACCCCGCAGAGGAGCCAGTATTCACAGAATCACAGAATCACAGAATTGTGGTGGTTGGAAGGGACCTCAGAGATCATTCCTAGTATTCCCAGTAGCAGAGGTGGAGATCCCGCAGGAGAGACTCACAGAGGGTCACAAAGGTGGCTTTCTTACTGCTGTGGGGCTGGAGCTCAGCCCTAGGGGTTGGGATCACCTCCACAGGGTTTAAAAGGTTCCAGGAAAGCGCTGGTGTCAGGACAGTTCCTCACGGCAGGCGATGGCGGGCTGGGTGGCCCACAGCAGGGACGAGCAAGGACAAGCCACCAATGCAGGGGACATGCCAGCCCACGCACCCTGCGGGTCATCAGCCACGTCTTAGAATCATTGAATGGTTTGGGTTGGAAGGAACCGTTCAAAGCCTTTTCGTCCAAGGAGCAGGGACACCTCCCACCAGACCAGGTTGCTCCAAGCCCCCTCCAACCTGGCCTTGAACCCCTCCAGGGATGGGGCAGCCACAGCTTCTCGGGGCAACCTGGGCCAGGCTCTCACCACCCTCACACCAAACAAGTTCTTCCCCACATCTCAGCTCCATCTCCCCTCTTCCAGTGTCAAACCCTTCCCCCTCCTTCTAGGGCTCCCCTCCCTCATCCAGAGTCCCTCCCCAGCTTTCCTGGAGCCCCCCTTCTTTAGGGACTGGAAGGGGCTCCAAGGTCTCCCCGGAGCCTTCTCTTCTCCAGGCTGAACCCCCCAACTCTCAGCCCCCCCTCCCAGCAGAGGGGCTCCAGCCCTCCCAGCATCTCCGTGGCCTCCTCTGGCCCCGCTCCAGCAGCTCCATGTCCTTCTGCTGTCGGTGGCCCCCGAC